AGCGCGGGACGCACCGCGACCCTGTGAGGCTCGGCGCCGCGGGGCGCGCCACGCCCCGGTTCTCGGGGCCTTTGGGCAGCCCCCGCCCGCGCCCAGCCCGGCCCCTTCCCCTTCCCCGGCGACTGGGGTCTGCCCAGGCGGGGAGGGCCGGATCAGCGCCCTTGCACAGCCGTCCCGGTGGCCGCCGACTTCACAGTGTCACCCCGCGCTGGGCCAAAGCGCATTGCCGTTGGTCGCTCCCTGCGTTGAGTTTTGGTGGGTGAACGGCCAACGGGTGCAAGAGGGGGATTTGTCACGTCGCCTCTTGCCACCCGTCACTCTAGCCTAAGATCCCAACAGCTGGAGTCCTTCCTGTTTGGGAGCCGCTCCGGCCCCCTCCTCCCCTCGAGTGCCTTTTCTGCACCTTCGCGTTTCCAGCTTCCTCTGAGCTCCGGGCAGGAGAGCCGACCCGCCGCTCATCCTGGTGTCTGTCTTCACACCCGCGCCCGGAGGTCCATGAAGCTGGGGGACAAGGCCTCCCCTCGGCTTTGTGGTTGGGCGGGAGGGACACTCCACCCTCTTCCCGTCCTAATGACCTGGTTGCAAGAACCCATGACTGGAATAAACCATTGTTGGTTGGGTTTGTTGATTTCATTCCCCCATTCCTTGTCAAGCACAAAATGGTTGGAAACACATGACAGGGTGGGCCACAAACCACAGGTGGAAAAGGTGGACCAACCCAGCATCTTCATGGCTTCTACGGATCCCTTCATACGGACATTTTCAGACACTCTCTCTACAATTGTACCTACTTTTTCTAATGAACTTTTTTTGCCCTGTGCCAAAAAAGTAAAATGAACTTTAATTTTTTAAAGCCCCCTTTCTATACAAATTATCCTCAAGGGCTTTCCTTGCTTGGTAGGCCCTGCAGATCTCTAATGGTCTCTTTATAGCAGCTTTCTTCTGTGAATTAACTCCGTTGCATTCTCTTTGAGGATGGGTTCAGGCAGGCAGGCTGATCTTCAAGTTACTCAGCTAATTCCCGCTGAAAATTGTTTGCATATGTATCATAGTTCTGCACTTCAAGTCATGAATCAAGGAATATCTGTAGGAAATAGGAAGTATTGTTAGTGCATCTCAAGGCATGTTCTCGACCAGAGAGATGTAAGATATGGAGTCCTTGGTGCTCTCTGAGCTTGGTTATTTGATTGCAGACATTTCATTACCCAACTAGGTAACATCATCAGTGCTAGAAGGCAGTGGGGTTTGCTCCTTGTTTATATACAGTAGCTTGCCCTGCCAGTGTTTGTGGAGGTGTGGTTTTCTCCTTGGTACTTCCTTGATTAGGGTATTGTTTTCTAACTGATTGTTTGTCTGCTTAATTGTTTGTCTCCTTGGTACTTCCTTGATTAGTGTACTGTTTTCTGCTTGATTGTTTGTCTTATGTGTTGCATAAGAATATAGGAAATCACTTCCTCACCAGCAGCCTACACCCAAATAAGCAGGGATTACCACCAGGCAGATAAACAGAAAACAATTAGAGTATTAAAGTGTTGCTTTCTGCTTGATTGTTTGTCTGGTGTTAATCCCTGCTTATCTGGGTGTAGGCTGCTGGCAAGGATGTGTTCCAGAAATGATTTTCTGTATTCTTATGCAATACAGGTAGTCCTTAGCGACCACAATCGGGACTACCAACTTGGTTGTTAAGTGAAGCAGTCGCTAAGTAAAACCGTGACTGTGCTTATGATCTTAATTCAGCTTTCCTTTGCTTTACAGACCTGCAGAGGTCATAAATGAGAGGGTTGGTCATAAAGTTACTTTTTCATCACTGTCATAACTGTGAATGGTTGCTAAATAAGGCAGTCGCTAAATGAGAACTACCTGTATTTCTTTTTGATTTTCCAATCAAGCCTACAGCTATGGACGTTTCTGGTGGAATAACTGTGTCTGATCTTGTTCAGCTTTCTTGAGATCAGCCAAGGTCAGCTAGGGACTGCATTTGTATGCCAAAGACAAGGGCCCAATCATCCTTGATCACACTGATGAGAGAATCATAAATTGGACTGCTTCCCTGTGAACCATTGTGTGTACTCACATTGGAAAGAAACCATGTGCAGGAACTTGGGACTTTCCTTTCTGTCCATCCATCAGCATCATCATTCTGCAACAATGGAAAAGAACAGGAGTAAATTTGGTACAGTAGAAGAAGCCAGCAAAAGAAAGATTGATTTTGAAAATGGGCCATATTGGGTCAAGGGCTAGAGAGAAAAGAAATCCAGAAAAAAATCCATTCCCGCCATGTCTCTATCACTTGGGCATGGACCCATAATGCTGCTGACTGCTCCATTCTAAGCCCCTCCTCCTTCCTGGTCACATGATCCACAGCACAACTACTCCAAAGAGTTTTGCATACTTTTCCAACCTTGTTTAAGCATCTAGTATTGCATCTGCCTGCTTTGACAATATTTCTCCTGCCTTTTTTTCTGGAAATAAAATCTTAAATCTTTTAGGGGCAGAGAGTGCATTTATTTGCTGTATCGGGCTAATGTACCTGCTCCTCTCAAATTAACTGAAACACTGGTTCTTTTACATGGAGAGCATCAGCTTGCAAAAGATTAGATTTGATTTTGTCGATATTGGTGGACTTGTAAATGTCTATCAGTTGGAACTTAACATAAATTTATGTATATACTCATAAGAGTCAGTTCCCAGATTGATAACGCAGGAGACCATTACATAAACAATGAGCTGCAAGCTTATCAGTGAAGAGATCCACCTCCACTGGATTATAGGAAGGCTGTTAGAAAGAAAATCAGAAAATCTGATTTTCAGATGAGTGAGAACGCCTGGTGGGATCACCCTTGCTGGAAGGGTGAAGATAAGAGGAATTCAGGTAGGGGGAGGTCTGTAGGAAAATCAACTTGAGAATATACATGCGTAAATACTCATCATGCTATTCCCTTTCATGGCAAACAGTAGCACAGAAAGGGTAGTAAGCAAAAGAGACTAAAGGCAGGTGATAAATGGAAATTTAACTGAAGCTAGTCTACACAAGTACCATTTGTGATACATAATACCTCTCCATCTCTTTCTGTCCATGCAAACTATCCATGATGCCACCATGTCTATACACCAATTCATGCATTGCCTTTTCTTCCTTAAATTTCTCATCTCAATCTTGAGGATTTCATCAACCCCAGGGAATCACAATTTTTTGTTATCTTCTCATTAGACCATTAATTCTTCCTCCTCCACACATTTATCTTGCATTCCAGTCTTGTTCATTCTCTGTATATGACCAAACCACCTCAACATTCATCTTTCATACTGGTCATTCATTTTGTATCCAGTCCATATTCATTCATCACTTCTTCTTTTTTTTACCCAGAAGAAGGAATTCCAAAATGAAACCAGGAAAAAGACAATTGCAAATCATTGTTGTCAAAAAAACCTGTATAGACATGGTTCAAGCATGTAAAGAAATTTGGGTGTCAGATGGTATGACCTACAGGTGAGAAGGCACTCCTCTAGTTACTGAGGAAGAATGTCAAACTGAAGGTGACGCAGTGGTCAGGCCAACACCACATGGAAGTCTGTTCACTAAGGGTGCCAATATTAAAAGAGCAGATCCTTGTTTTACAAAGACACATACAATAGGATCATGGAATGTGAGAAGCACAAACCAAGGAAAACTTGAAATTCTCAAAGTGTGAGTGAAATGTACTATTTTTGGAATTAGTGAGCCCTAGATGGACCAGAATGGGCCACTTTAATCAGATGATTATGTGTGTTACCAATAGAAGAGAATATATGTAGCTCAAAGTTGAACCGTGGAGTCCTTGGGGTTCTCTGAGCTTGGTTCTTTTCTTGCAGATGTTTTGTTATCCATCTAGGTAACATCTTCGGTGCTAGAAGGGAGTGGGGTTTGCTCTCTGTTTATATACAATAGCTTGCCCTGTCAGTGTTGCTGGAGAAGTTGTTTTTTTTCCTTGGTAGTTCCTAGATTAGGCTGTTGTTTATTGCTTGATTGTTTGTCTGAGCTGGTAGTTCCTTGATTAGGGCATTGCAAATGTCTATCAGTTGGAACTTGCTTGATTGCTTGTCTGGTGTTAATCCTGCTGGTAATCCCTTCTTATCTGGGTGTTGATTACTAGCAAGGAGGTCTTTTTGTTTTTATTGTCTTTTTTGAATAGCATGTAAATGTTGTTTATGTGCCTGTTGATGGCTAACTTGTCTGAATACCAAGCTTCCAGGAATTCCC